TTTTATTTATTTATTTTTGTTTTACATATAAAAATTGGTAAATCCCACACTTTTTTTTAAGGGTGCTTCTTTCAAACCTAGTCTTTTATATCTTTGTGCAAGATTATCCTTGAGTGGCATTCTCTTCCTGTGAATGTTTGAGTTAAGAAATGTAAATTAAACCTATAGTGAGTATAAATGACTGTGATGTACCTGTCAGGTTTTTGTTTGGAGCCAATCACATCGTTCAAAATATGAATTGATGAAAGATGAATTCGTAAACTTTGTGCACGTAGTACGTACACCTGTGACATTACTATGCAGAGTCTTCGCTACAAAGCAGAAAAATTCTTTGATGTTGAAATTAATACATAAACTAATTCATCTTGCATTCATGAATTAGTATTTACATCTGGAGCTGTTATTGAAGTTATTTTTGTGAATATTGTTGGGAAATTATTAAGCCACATCCGTGGATTGGAACTGTCAAGGAGAGTCAGCTCTACAAGTGGAATATATTTAACACTCTGTTGTTGAACTAAAGGTCTCTCTAACATTCCATTATACCGCTTTCTTCTGTGGCTGTAATAATCCTTGCAGCACTTCTGATGGTAAGTTAATTTCGGTTTGAAGCTTATTGCACCAAAACGGACAATGCTATAATGCATACAGGCCTGTGCTGTACTGTCAAAAGGGAATAGAAAAGCAGATGATTCCTCAAACTGCTTTGTATGGTTAATCTTGTAAGTTGTGTATGACCCACTTACATTTCATAATTTTGTTTGAAGTGTGTTTTTTCTCATTTTTGGTTGAAGATTTTCACTGTTCCAATGCCAAGCAAGTTATGTAATATGTTAATGATTGCAGGTAGCCTTTTGTTGACTGTTGAATTAGCATAAGTTTACAACCAAGTAATAATATTATTAGTGATATACCAGCTTATCTTACATTATGTGCACATGTAAAAACAAATTTCACTCCTTACATTTTGCATAAGTGGTATGCTTTTCCATTTTTTCCAACCCAGTCAGCTAAAACATTATATATTAATCCACAGAACAGTACAGTACATTTTTTTACATGTAAGTTAAATTGCTTATTGATAAGTCACCCAGACTCAACAGTTGGAAACCATATGTTAATATTGTTATTAGTGCTCTGTTCAAGAATGTTCACATGAACACTGCTTTCACTATGAAACATAAAGAATCATCGATTCTTGAAAATTATGGACACTTCTATTTATAAATTGTACACATATTTTGGTACTTTATGAGGGTTTCTTACCCTATAAACGCCATTCAGAAAAGGGAAAGAAAATTACAATCTGTTATGTTGTAGCTCTAGAGTATTGTGGACAGACCTGCAAAAATAGTCTGATATTATTAATTTTTTGGTTAAACCATCTAACCTTTAACAGTTAACATCTGTTATTTTACCCCACAATAAATTATTACCATCACTGTCTAGTCTTGCATATAGACCTACATGTACGACACTGTAAGGTACATTTTTTAACAATTCCTATCAAAGAAGGGAGTGTGAAATTTAAGCCTCTCTTTGACTACTTGTGGACATTGTTTTCTTTGTGTGTTCATATCATCATTTCATTGCTTAATTCAGATTTACAATAATTTATTTTCTCGCTGCCCTTAAATAGGAAAGGCTACATTTTTGTCTAGGTGGTAAAAATGGTATTCAATTGACAAGTCAATAAAAGTAATTTATATAAATTGTACAAATGGTTAAGAGCAGAAGAAAAGTTACTTGTAAGTCATTGTTTTCTTTCTTTAAGGTTTGTATGTTGTCTTTACCCATGTTTTGTTCAAATTGTGAGTTCTCCTGCAAAGCTTGGAACTACATGTGCTGCTTTGAACGTGCTGCTTTATTTGTGCTGCTTTAAATGCAAATATATTTCATACAAAATTGACACATACGACATATTAGAAGAGGTAGATCGCTCACTAATTTAGAAGATCTCCAGTTTGCCCGGCCACCCCCTGTACCCTTCTGTCCCCAAAACAAAAGAAAGTTCAGAGCGCCTCAGAGTTCCTAGCAGTCATCTTCCTAGGGTTAATACCCAGAGTTTTAAAAATAGTTTTTTTAATAGGCCAGTTTTCAAATATAGATTTGCTATTTATTGTGGATTTGCTATTCATTGTGGATCTTGAATATTAAATTCTATACTTCTACATGGAATTTTTTAAGCCTTGTAATTCTTTCTGCTGTTTTCAATGTAGGTGTTCTTGATTCTTAGCGTGTATTTTTGCTTAAAAACTATAATGATAACCATTTTGCATGCACACGTGATCATGCCTTATCAAAAGTACATGTAATTGCATGGTAATGAGAACAACCATGACACCGAGGGCAAACAGGAGCAGCAGGTTTAATAAGCAAAACAAAAGCTCTTAGCTTGCCGTGCTCACACTTTTTAGCAGATTTCTTTGCAATCGTTGCATGACTTATACAAATCAGAATGGCAATGTTATGGTTGCGTTAATCTCTAAGATTGCTGTTCCATCAACAGTAATCCTAGCAACTTCAATTTCACAGGGAATGGCCATAGATCCTCTTAAGTATATGGGGAAATGGATTGTATTATCCACCGGAAAGAGATTTACTCAGTAGATAGCATTATCCACCTATCCAACAACAGGGCCCTGATCTTCATGCATTTCCTAGAAGAAGTGGAACCTGGGAGATCATTTTATTAATTCTTGTTACCTTTTGTCTTGATTCTGTACTGATATTGTTAAAAGAAAATTGAGGTTAATGACTTATGGACAAGGACGACTACAAATACGTGATTTGACTTGAAGTTTTTCGTGTCTTCTCAAAATATAGACTTCGCAGAAAAGCTTTAGTTTACCATATTTCAGTAGAAACGTTAGCACCGTTGTCTTAAGTGAAGGAGGTTATGCACCTTCCCAGTCGCAAATGATGATAAAACTTCTAACATTTGATATCTTGTTTTTGCTAGCATGACAATCGTGCTAAAACTCGTAATAGAATGACGACGGCTACCACATTTTCCCGCCAAAATGACGCTGGTTCTCGCGCAAGCACTACTTAGTATTGAGAAAATCTCAAACTCATAGTCGTACTCATCTTAGAACCTAAAGGTCTCTATTAAGTGGCAAGATAACCTGAGTGTATTGTTCATCGCCTGTGGTTTATATTACACTGTATTAGAAAACATTGTGGTTGAAGAAAATATCCATACCTGCCTAATGGATGATGAGTGTTAAATTTCAAGGGGAGGGGATCTTAAAGGTAAAAAAGGCAATGCATGTACCCATACTGCATTTTCCTGGGAGGGGGTGGGGATTTAAGGGGTGGGAAAGGGGTTTCGAACCAAACTACCCTCCACAGGAAGTTTATGTTATTTTTTTGGAACAACACATTTTAAAGAGCATGTTTTTTTTATTTCTATTTTTTTTATTGTCTAAACAGGGCTAAATGTAATATTAAAATATATACTACAAATTTTGTATGATAGATTACAGTATGCAGTTAAGTTAAGGATATGCATTATTATATTACTATTTTTGAAGCAATGCTAATCACATGTCCTTGACAATGGGAGGTGGCTTCATGTAACTTGCCCATTTTACATTCCATTTGATACATGTATGTGTCTGTCTTGAACTCCTGTGCTTTGCAGTGTAAACCTCCCTATAAATCAAACTAGCTTCAATACTTTAAAATATATATACCTTATTACAGCTCTGTCATTTCTTAATATTTTTATTCTTTTTCTTTATAAATATGCTCCCAGATTTTGGCCATAACAACTTCTAGGTAGGCCTAATTTAAAAATTTGACTTCCAGAAACTTCCGTTTTGAATATTGTTTAGAGGCAGCTTATGAAACATTTATGACATATTCCTCATGTAGCTTTGTTGTCATAAATTAAGCAATGTAAGATATTCCCCTTTGATGTTCAAACATATGACTTAACATCTTGTTTTCTGTGTAACGTTTTTAAACTACATATACAGAGTACATTAAGTGTATTTGGGTGCTTTAAGATTACTTAGGTTTTTAAGAATCCACCATGCTTAAGTCCTTGCAGCTGAATTGTAAAATTGTTTGAACTTCAGAGTGGTGTAGATAAATTAAAAACCTGTTTACACGAGACTAAAATACATGTATCATTGTTTTGGGATGTTGTGTAATCTTCAGTTAGTTGATAAGAGGCGGGTTTGTGGATGAGTATACAGCGGCAAAGGGACAAAACTTGTATTTTTCTAGTCCACATGAAACATTTAGTAGTTTTATAATAATTCCAGACAAGCCTCAAATTACCATTTTCAAAGCTGGGAGATCATCAATAATTTATGTTGTAGATAGGCAGGGCAGATTATAAGTCTTTTAGCGGTATAATTTTTGTTCTATTTTTTTATTTATATTAAAGAAGGACTTTTGGCAGGAATTGAACACTTCTCAGAACAGTTGGATGTTACCTTATTTGTTGACAATAATTATTATTGTTTTCCAGAAGGACATCAGAAAAGAATTAACATCATGTGCATATTACATGAGTAGGGTTTCACATCTGATAATTAAGACATGCGTACGTGGATATCGCTGAGAGGTGCTTTCATTTATAGTAACACCTCTAAATTCTCTTAGAAGGGATAGAATGTGCAAAGCTGTGATCTTGAGCTTATCAATTGTCACATTTAACCCTTCTTTCCATGGTTCAGTTCACTGTTGTTAATTTTGAATCACTTTATGAATGTCTACAGCTCTGTAGCATTGATGTAAACAAATTACCAATGATGACTAAATTATCCCAATTCACAGTGAATTTTGGGTGAGTCATGACCAAAATTTGCATTTTAAGCAACCTCACAAAAGCTGCGACATTGTGAAGAATTCTGTGTCAGAAATGAACATGCATGTATGGCTATAAAGAAACCAGTTTTTTCCCAGTTGCTGTTCCTGTGAAAGGAGAAGACCTGTATGGTTACTATTGCCTAAGTTGCTCTTCAAGTGAATCTTCAGAATCAACAATGTTGCTCTTTGACTGGGTTGGTTGTATTTTATGTTATCTTGCTCATTCTGTGGGGCAATATAAGGTCAACGTTTTAAAAGATTGGGACTAACTGGTTTGTAACACATGTAGAATATCAAGGGAGTTCAAATTGATTTTGCGACTACAAAATGAGGCAGATTTTTTTCTGGTATGGTTAAGATTGGATCATTTTACGTTTTACATACTTCTCATTATTTTATAAATTTACCTTTGTATTCTGGAGAGAAATTACTTGATTACATTTTCTTGTTTTCTCAAGTTCTTTTGTTATGTTTAATTTGGCAAAAATCTATACATATATTTATATCAAAATAAAGGTTAAAACTCTTTTAAGAAGATTTTTATCACCTTACATACATATTACTTATTTTTACGGTACTTTAAGTTTGTACATACCAATAGCTGCATGAAGATTCCCAAAGAACTTCCAGGGTTGTTTTATCATAGACCAGTAACCTCTGTTTTACTTAAACAGTGGAGAAGTAAAACTTATGTAAAGAGACTTGTACTTTTCTAACGTACAAGTTATCATCATTCTTTTGTGTAAAGTGTTGAAATTTCCTTTTTGTTTTCCGTGCTTCCCAGGTTTCTTTCCATGTTGCACCTGCAATTTTTAAGCCCTGGTACCTCTAATATTATTACAAGGCAGTGTGGCCGAGTGGTCAGTGTGTCGAACTTTCAAGCCAGTGGTCCCAGGTTGAATCCTACCCTGGCCACACCTGGTCAAATCCTTTTTTGTCCTTGTAAAACTACGTAGTTGCCTCCTACCAGTTGGGGCTTTTTAATGAAGTTAAATTTATTTAGCACAGTTAACCCTTTAAGTCCCGACAGTGACCAACATTAATTTTCTCCCAATGATATCCGTACATTGTCAAGAGACTAGGTTATGAGAATTAATAAAATGATCACCTAAGAGAAAAAAAATACTTTGATCTTTTGTCAAATTCTCTCAACTCATTCTTTAAGGAAATATATAGAGATCAGTTTGGAGAATTTGTATTTAGATATTGGGGCTTAAAGGTGAACAATGAGGATTGAGGGCGTGGTCAGCAGTCAGTAGTTTGGCTCATGCCCAGTCAGCCTTGCTTTCTTCACCTCCATGTGCTCAGTACAACGTTTTCCTGGTGGCCACTCTCTTTGTTTAGCCTTTGGATCATTCTTTTACCCCCATCCCTCCCCGCCCCTTTATTTTTCCACTGATTAATCAGTGACAGGTGCCTGGCTCCATTGGCATAGGGGCTCATGGCTGGAGGGCATGCGTTTGCCAGCCATGGGGGCGTAACTCTGTCTAGGGGCCGGCTGTGCCAAAAGTGGAAGCCCCTGGACATTCCAGGCACCCACCTCCACTAAGCAATGCAGTTGTTAAATCCTGTTATGTTCTGTTTGGATTATTAACTTGTTTCTAGTTATTATTTGAGTTGAGGGGCTTTATGCTAGCTGGAAAGCTAAAGCTGAAAGCTGAAGGGCCACTATAAACAAACCTTTTTTTGTTAAAAAGGCCATTAATTTGTTGTCATCTCAGCTCCCATCTCAGTCTGCATCTAACTTTGTGGTTACAAACTTTGCAGGATTTTGATAACCAGCATCGGACTTCTGATACCAGTAGTCTAGAAGAAGAGAGAGAAAATGCCCGGCGGGATCTTCAGCGAAGAGCTTTGGAGGCCTTAGAGGCAGCAAGGGTATGTTGAAACAACTTGGCTGGATTTTATTAGTTGTTTTGTTTAATCCTTTCACTTTAAAATTCGTAAATGAAATCTTGTGATGTAATCCATTCAAATTAAATCTCTTTGGCAGAACTAGTACTACAGCTGTATTTAATTCCTTAAGATTTTCCGTATTCAACTTGTTTATTCATATGCCCTTGAATCATATTTCATTACTCCAAAACAAAATCTTATCTTTTTTATAGCTATGTGTAGAGTCCTGTTATGAAAATATGCGTTATCATTATCGAAAAAAAACAGAAATAAACCTCTTTCATAATGGCGACACAGGGATGTAGATAAGGAAAAGCTAAGCAGGTTTTTTTATTAATCAAGCCAGCTTTTTTACTCAACTGCACCTTCAAAATTATATTAGTCCAGGTCTTTGTTTTCCAGAGCAATTTGGGCCGGCAGCTGGCTCTTAGCGACACTCGTGGCAACGTACATATTAATTTTGTTATTCTCTTGATAATGATGATAACAAGCCTTTCTGACCTTGTTTGAAAGTAACAATTCTTTTGTATTTTGCACATGCTAACGAGGTCAAAAAGGCTAATAATTATCATAATTATCATACATGACCAAGAATATATTAATAGGCTGCCTTTATGAAAGAGGTCTATGTGTGTAAATAAAACACAAAACTCTGTTTTGATTCGTGTATTTGTAAACTATGTGTGAATGATTTCTACAAGCTGTGCCTCCTTTGCCACCTTGTCTAGTTATAGATTTTCTGTGCTGGAGATTTATGCATTTTCCTTCAATAACAAAAATAAACGTGTTTGGTGTTTTTTTTTCTTTGTTGCCATCCTGCGTAAAAAAAGTTTCATGACCAGGATCATTATATGTAAGTGCTGACAGCGGGCTAAAAAAACTGGCTGCTTAGAGGCGTGAGCCATCTACTTTTTTGGGAAAAATGGGAAAGTGTGAGTGAAAGCCTGAATTGCCTACAGCCTCAATTGTACCAAGCCGCCTACTTTCACATCCTAGCTGTCTACTTTAAAACTTAATAAGAACCCTGCATGACGCCTATGTGATTTTTGAATCTAGTCAAAGCAAGTGGCATTTGCTGTGAGAACAAACATTGCGTATGACGGAAGCATAGATGATGATTCCCCAGTGCATGGTGCTGCAGTGTCTTTTGATGCTAAAGACTTCCTTCATGTTAAAGAGGTACTTGTAAAATCTATCAGAAAGTAACTGCACTTTGGTTTTCCAGTTAAATTGAATAGAGAGAAGTGTGATGTCGCAGAAGCAGAACAGTAGGGAACTTGAGCAGTAATGACGGCAATGGCAGTAAGAATGACAAAAATGCAATAAGTTTCTCCTAGCATAACAACAACCTTGCATGTGCAGCTTGCTTTTTTGTACATTTCTTAGCTGTTGTTGTATGACTGCGACATGAAACTTCCTAATTTTGTGCACCTGCTTTATGGAGTAGGTTAACACAACACAAAGTTTTTCTTTTTCTAAACTTAAATACGGTCCCTTCAGGTTCAACCCCAGAAGAATTTGCGGACATTTGACGAGTTAAATTTCATTTAAGACTGAGCTTGAAACAATCATCCAGAAATTTTGCTATCATGGCAATGTGATGGAACGACTTTTCCTCTCTAACCAAGAGTAACAACATTGTGCCCCTTTTGAGTCTGTCTGCTATAGTTAAGCGGGCAACAGAAAGCTTTCCTCTCCTTCCAAGCATTATTGATATTAACGTTTTATAAGAGACAATTTGCCTACTTGCTATGTCTGAAAAAACATCTGGACTACAGCTGAAAAATCATTTTATGGCACCTAACTAGAAATGGTAAATAACACATTTACAAAATAAAAGTGTAATTATTGACATCCTCACTAAGGATGAGTCTTTCAATTTTCAAAAATATTTGCATCTATAATGATGAAATTTGATACTACTATGTATGTAAGTGTTAGAATGTGCCTTCCCTTCTCACTGGATTTTAAGACTATAATTATATATATTTTTTACAGAAATTTAATGACGACTGGTGGATTGGAAGAGTTGTAAAGGAGGGCTGTGACATTGGGTTTATTCCAAGGTACTGCTAAATGCTAAATGCTTCTTCAAAATGTCTCAGTTAACATTTCATTCATGGTACAAATGTACTTTGTCTTTCTTACATTTGCAGTCCCAGCAAACTGAACTCACTGCAACAACAATTTGGACTCAGCAGTGTAGGCGGAAAAGGAAGCAAAACAAATCAGAAGTAAGATTTTTCATGTAATACTGTATATCAAAAACGACACGCAGGGTTTCATTTGATATCCAAACACCGAGAAGTGGGTTGAAAAATGAGGTGCAGCTAAGTTTTTTAAGACCGACTTTGATGTTTCTGGATATCGGATGAAACACTGAGGGGAGTTTTTGATATAGCTTCTCAAATGTTAACTTCACAAAATTTTATGGTAATTAGTATGTGATATCCAAACTACCGTCATGGTTGTGATTTTCTTTGTTTTCTCTGTATGTAATATTATTGAGCTTGAGAATGTCTTGTAGATGAGTGATTCTAGAAGAAGTAAAAATGTTCCACCTGGCTTGACTTTAAATAGTTTTGTGCTTTTGATTGATATATTGTCAAATGTAGCAAAGTAACAAGAAATAAGAATATCTAGTCTATTATGTGAGTAACATCATTATTAAATTTCTACGTGAAGTACATAGCAGTTTCTCAGAGGTTATAAAACGTTGTTAAGTTAATGTACTGTTTCTTTTATAAATCTTTCATCCTTACCGAAGTGTCATGGTTTTGCTGCTGTTTTTTGTTAGGTCTGGTAGTGTTTTTCAGTTCGAAGGTATGATGAATCAAGCACAGTCTCCAACTAATACATCACCATCACGTCATTCTTCCACATCAGGACAAAGTAAGTTTTGCTATAGAAAGATATTATTTATCTTTGTTGATATGTGTAAAAGAAGCTGTCAGATTTCCGCCAATCAGCACGAAGTAGAAACAATCGCAAATGTAAACAAACATTGAAAAAAAACATGCTAAGGGTAGTGGCATCATTTCTAATGTCATCTCTGTCAATCAGCATTTTGCATCAACTTATTCGATGCAGACATTCAAATTCTTCTATCTCCCAGGAGAGCTTGCTCGCAGGCTACTTTGGGAATTAATACAAGCTAAGAATAATCATGTTCACTGTACATTACCATCAACAGTTGATGATGAGAATGGAATGGAATACGGTGATGAATCAAACCCATCGAGTCCAACTTCATCCAAGACATTGCCGAGGTCTCTATCAGGAACCACAGTATCATCCCAAGGGACTCAAGGGGGCAAATCCAAAAAGCCGTTCTTCAAGAAGGTTTTGACACTGTTATATAATGATTATTATGACTATAGTTGAACCAGTAAAAAATAAACAGGGCTGTACTCTATGAGGGTGACTCTCTTGGGATCATTATACGTTTCTGGAAAACTGCCCACCTACCCCTCCCCTAAGCTAACATTAACACTAACTTCTCACTTAGGGCAAAATGTTGGCTTAGGGGAGGGGTAGGTGGCAGTTTCCCAGAAATGTATAAGGATCCCTCTCTCATTACCTGTACCTTAAAAAAATACCCCCTTACTCCAACTGCTTGTCATGCTTAGCTTTACTATTCCAAAAACCTTCACCTTCGTAAATCATGCTTCAAGGGTGTGGGAAGTAGAAAGCTCTTGCTTTTACCTTATTTGTTGGGCATCCTGAATTTTATAAGAGGGTTTCGGGCTTGTTGCAGTGTTTCTTAGAGCAAAGCTGTTATGAAATTAATGCACAATGATGTGTACCTGACAGTCTTTTTTTTACCTGTTTAGCAACAAGAGCAATTCTCACCTTATGATGTTGTACCATCGATGAGGCCTATTGTGTTGTTGGGACCATCCCTTAAAGGTTATGAGGTATGACCAACATCAATTTTCTCCTAACCACATCAGCAGATCATCAAGAGTAAAGGTTATGAGAATTACTAAATTGATTACCACAGGGAGAATGCTTTGATCTTAAACCAATGTATGGAGATCAGTCTGGAGAATTTGTATGTGGATCTTGGGGCTTAAAGGGGTAAGAGGAGCCTGCACTCCTAATCCAGGTTTTTATTACGCATCTGTCACTTGTATGTAGTCAGCATTCGTTTGGACTTCCACTAACAATGAATGGAATGCTCAAAACGCAATTTGATCACGCGTATTTCGAGCTTCTACCCCTTGTAATCTGATCACGCGTGTTTTGACCACCTGTCATGGGAAACTTACGCAAAGCACAGCGCTGAAGGAAAAGTGTTTTGACCTTTCATTGTCATATCGGTTTTTGAGGAGACGGGAAAACCGGAGTACCTGGAGAAAAACCCCTCGGAGCAAAGGAGAGAACCAACCAACTCAACCCAAATATGGCATCAATGCCAGAATTTGAACCCGGGTCACATTGGTGGGAGGTTAGTGCTCTCACCTCTGCACCACCCTTGACCACCAAATCGCAGACTCAGTTCCCAGTTATTTTCTGGTTGTCTTTTGACTGTCTTTGATTTTTTCCACAAACTATTAATAGGCACACTCAGCTACTATAGGGTAGTGCAATCAACGAGAAAGGTTGGCTATTTTAACGATTTTCCTCTGATTTCATCACAGGTTACGGACATGATGCAGAAAGCTTTGTTTGATTACATGAAACACAAATTTTCTGGAAGGTAAGTTATGTACAGTGATATATTTCTAGCTAGACAGTTAGTTAGTAAGCAGTAGAAGGGTTTAGAAGGGTTCACTTCTGGTCAAGTAAACAGTAAATACTCTTTTTTATTTAACATTAGAGGTGCCCAGTCATTTAGCTTAATTCACCCACAAGTGGACAGTCTTCTTAAGCCATTAAGGACATGAGTATTTCCACCTTAGCTTTAACCCTTTAAGTGAGCTTCAAGTCCATGTACCTTGCTGAAGTCCAGCTATGATCTTGCTGAACTAGTTTTTATGTTTACTTTTGATCCACTCCTTAAGCAGGCTTGTAAATAGCCACATGGTTTGCTTCTTGCCACTTAGATTTATTAGCTTTGCTCTGTTAATTTGATATATTTCTTCACTTACAGGATAACAATAATGCGTGTTAATGCTGACATAACGTTGGCCAAGCGATCAGTTATTTCAAACCCCAGCAGGAGTAAGTTGATGGAGAGAACGAACAGCAAAGGTTCAGGACTTGGTATGTTTTTCTTAAAACCTTGCCAACAGTTATCTGTATTCTTTCCCGGGAAGATAAGTCATGCAGTTTGAAAATGTGTGTTCTAGGCACAATATTTATTACAAACACAGTTTGGATTTCATTTCATCTTTATTTTTGCTTGATTTAAAGAGGACTGAACCTGTAGATTTAAAACTGTGTTGATTACTGTATTTGAACTTGACTAGCAAAGTGTCATTTACAATTTTCGCATCAAATTGTTTTGTGTGCTCAAGATTTTGTTTAAGACACTGGTTTTTGTTTTTTATTTAAGATTAGAGATTGTAATTTGTATGAGAACAAAATGTGATCTTGACTGAAATGTTGACACAGCTTCTTCAACCTTTGTATTGTATTTGATTAATATCTTTACAGCTGAAGTTCAACTAGAAATAGAACGGATATTTGAGTTGGCCAGAGGGCTTAATCTGGTTGTGTTGGACTGTGAGAGTGTGAATCACCCTACACAGCTCTTCAAGACGTCTTTAGCCCCCCTGCTAGTGTACATAAAAATAAATTCACTCAAGGTAATGTTTCTGTTTCTGTTTGAACTGTTGATGGCTCGTTTAGTCATCAATACCTTATTAATCTTTTACATTTCAAAAGAGCTTTGTTAGGAAAAGATTTTCTGTGGGACAAGAATGTCTAAAAAGAGCAGTAAAGATACATTGTTCTTACTAAAGTTCTTTTACGGGGAAATTGGAAAAAAGTGTCTTGTCTACTTTTCATCAACACCTTTTCCATTCCTTTGTAGCATTATGTTTATTTTTTTGTGGAATGAAATCTAGTGAAGAATGGTAATGACAAGTAACGAGGATAATTGAACATTTTTGGTGAGCATACCCCAAACCAAGAATCTGTATAGTTATTTGCTTCAAGAAAAATTATCTTTGGTTACACATACCCATCTTGGTAAAATAATGATGGCCCCTGCCCCCACTCAAATGTGCTTGAAATAAATAAGCCCCATGTGGGGCTTGACAGAGGATTTATGCTCATTATCACTTTGGCCATACACTGTTTAATAATATTATTGACTTTTGGTATCACTTGCAGGTCTTACAGAGACTCATAAAAACCCGGGGCAAATCCCAGTCTAGAAATCTCAATGTACAGCTTGTGGCAGCTGAAAAATTAGCCCAGTGTGGGAATGTGAGTAGTAAAGTTATATAAGTAAATTGATTTTTAATTCTTGTGATTGCTCTATGTTTGGTTGCTATCTACATTGTGTTATGGTCGTAGATGTTGGCTTAATTCTTAGTCCCAAGGGTGATCAACATTAATTTTCTCCTTAACAATATCAATATACAATCAAGAGAAAATTAATGTTGTGGGAATTAGTAAAATGATCGCCTGAGGGGAAAATGCTTTGATATTATTTTTATGAAAATGTTTAGAGATCAGTTTGGGGAATTTGTATGAGAGCATTGAAGGTTGAAGAGTTAAATCATCTCAGTGTGCAAAGCAAGTGGTGTCCGATAGCCTAGCCTGGGTGCGGCTAGTGGATTTTGTTATCAGACTAGTGATTTTTGTTCTTAACTTGCCCGACGGGCAAGTGCTTTTTTGGGGGGAAATTCAAATTACAGAAGGGCTGTAATCAGTCCTGTTAATCAAAAAGTGTTTTGGGGCTAGTTGAAATGACTTGTGGGCTAGTACATGCTAGCTACAGCTTGCCCGAATGGCAGGCTGTAAAACTGACTTTCTTTGCACCCTACATCTTAAGTGCCTCTGACTGAAATGCTTCATATTCTGTTTATTTACTTTTACTATCATTGTCATCATCAGGAGGCTTAGGAACAAGCAATTGTTTCCCAGCCTGTGGTTGCCTTTGATTTTGAAACAGAAAGATGTGGTAAAATAAGATATCAATTTAGTGGGTGTGAGATAAAAGAAATTGGGGCAAGGGCTGTAACTAAGGGGAAGGGGCCAAGATTTCCCCCTGGTTGCTGTGAGCTAGACCCCCTCCTACTTTCATAGGAAACAAAAGAAAATTAGAATGAAGAAAACTGCTTATCTGTCCAATTCCCCCCTGCTAATTGCATATGCTGTGTGGCACGAAATTTTTATGGGAGTTAATTTTTGTGGATTGGCGATTTTTTGTGTTTTGCGGGAACTAATTTTTGCAATAAGGACAGATTGGTTTTTCTTGTTGGGAATTATTTTTTTGGTGATTTTCAGAGTTTTTTATTGAGTACTTGCCATAGAAATACATATTTTCAAACAATACTACAGTGTGCGTACCCTTTGTAAAACCAGTATTTCACTGTATGCCGTTTTGTTAGTGTACAAAGCGAATTTAAGTAAGAGAATAGTTACTCTGGAGTAAATTTTTGCGGGAAAAATGTTTGCGGTAATTTTTATTTGCGGGAACTTATTTTGCGGATCACTGCAAAAATCGCAAAAATTAGAACCCGCAAAAATTTTGTGCCACACGGTACCTGGCAACTTAAAATCGTGGTAACAGCCCTACTGCTCACACCCCTCTCTCTGCAAATGCCTAAATATCTAACTCATGTAAGACCTAGTCTGCCATAACTAACTCCAACCTCTCTGGGTAGAACTCTTATATGGTATCTAAGGATTCATATGAAGGTGTTTTGCCCTTTGCTTGTTACATAATAAAGGGCACATCTTTCTCACATCTTGTTTGGTTTAACACAAAGGAGACTTATGACCTTGTGCTGGATGAAGCTCAGCTTGATGACGCATGCGATCATCTGGGAGAGTTTCTTGAAAGTTACTGGAGAGCGACGCATCCACCCAATCAGCCAGGCAGCAGGCTGCCGACTGTACAGCCCCAACCATCTTCCCAGCAATATCATACTGTGGACTCGAATGAAAGGCCCAGTGTTTATTTGTAACATCTGGAATGCGGCATGCCTTTCAGAGCAACTCTATTTTGCCCAAGTACAATTGGACAGAATTTACCCTTGGTGCATGTCAATCTGCACCTACCTCAGTTGATCAGAGCTGTGTTTGTTCATAGCCAGTGGGGGAAATTAGCAGAAAATATAGACATTTCACAGTCCAATCAAAGCCAGCTGTGGAGTCAGAATAGTCAGTGTACAGTGGATGTTTATTCCCACAAGGGTGTCATCCATCGCTTGGCACCAACTCAATGGTGCCCTTGAAACAGACAGGCACTGTATTGTATGTCGGCAAGGCATTGTGTTAGGACAAGGCAAAAGATATGGTCATGCTATGCTAGGCTGCTGAATAACAAGAATCATTTATTATTAGTTAAGAAACTACAAGCTTCAAGATCGACTTACTTCGCAAAGTGGATCAGAAGTATGGTACACCAGAAGGATAAGAATTAATGCATTTTTTAAGAAAACACCTATCCAAAACTATATTAGTGGTAATTAAGAAATAATTTAATTTAGTTACATCAGGGTGTGAGGGAAAGGGAACAAAAGGTGGAACCATATCATGTCTCAACACCTCTGTTAACAGGCTGTGAATTAAATCATCAATAAACTCTCAGACAACCGGTGTTAAGTTTGCACAGTGAAATTTATTCACCCACCTTCATTTTTTATAGAATTTGGCAGTCTAGCCTTTAAGCCGTTTTTATTTCACTTTTTATTTTTATTTTGTGGTACACTGCCCTTGGAATTGATGTGGCACAGCTTTTGTTGAAGCAGTGTCATTAATGTGGCTCAATTCTTAATTCATTTGCTTGTTTGGTGGTGATAAGATGTGGTTCCACTGTGATATAACTTGCAATATCACAAAAGGTTATAGGGCAAGCAAGATTCTTTTAAGGGGTGTAAGTGCAAGATCATCAGTATGGAGTTATTGGTAAGCCTATAATCATAGCCCAGAAGAGAATTGTGATGTCACAAAAACTTAATTTGTGAAATTATGGGATTTGTTTTTGCATATTCAAAAAGAACAAGAAGAAAATAGTCCCCTTGCTGAAAATCAGGGCCCAGTTGTTCGAAGGCCGATTAGCGCTTAACCCGGGTTTCTTTTTCTGGCGTTGAAAAGCATTTTCTCGGGTAATTTTCTCTGTTATTTTTAGAGCTTCCAATCATCAACTTGTAGACAAAAAGAATTAAAACTGAAATTCTTTTTAAGCTTTCAAATCTGAATTCAAATCTCGCACTAACCCTGGGTTATCTTAACCCAGCTTTGAACAACTCGGCCCAGGCTGTTAGTGCAAATTGGTGAGGAGATATAAGTTCCACTATGCTCTGATGATTAATCCATGCAAATCCTTCTAAAATTGGCTTGGATCATGATGTTTACAATCCAGGTCATTTTAGAAGGATTTAAATGAGCCATCGGAGCATAACGGTGCCAATTTCCACCAACAGGCTGATTTTTAGCCAGGGAGCATTTTTCATCTTGTTCTGTCTGGATGTGCTAATCAGTCCCTTGATTTCCCAAGTTTAGTTTTTGTGATGTCATTATTTCTCTTCTCTATGATCCCTGCACCTACCACCTTCCTCTCACAGATTTTTTGTTTCATGGCAACCCTTAAGACTTACACTGATGCACAGTAAGAAGTCATACTTTGCCAGCTTAATAGTAGACATTTTGTTCTTTGAAGTAATTATTTGTTTAGCACAGGTGAGAGATTTGTAAGCGTATGCAGTTTTTGGATAAAACCCTTTCACTCCAAGAGTCAACATCTTGACATGGTTTTTAAGTTGTGAGTCTGTGGATGAAATCCTAATGTGTGACCATTTAAATGAAAGCTACTGAGCAGTACTTTCCTGTGGTACTGTTTATTATGCTGTACAAGGTGGTTCTAACTTTTGAGTCTGTGGATGAAATCCTATGATGTGACCATTCATTTTAAAGCTACTGAGCAGTCCTTTGAAATGGTGCTAGTTTTTTCCCCCACTGTTTAAGAAATAGTTTTAGGGAATTTTTTTCTCAAGTTTTTATTTGGCACACTCTCGAAAGTGAAAGGGTTGATAATTTTGCATTGAAATATTATTTTGGTCCTGACACCAGCCAGTGTTTTCTGTAGGTGAATTGTTAAAATGTTTATGAATGCCCTGGCCAAGAGATGTCTTGTACAGCGATGTAGACCAGAAATAGCTGGGAAATTATTTAGTAGGAAAGAAACAATAATGGCTTAGAGCCCATTTATTATTAGCTGTTTTATATTATTTTAAAAAGTAATGTGGCAAACACTTGCATCTATTTGTTGCACCTATTTGTTGATGTATTATAGTCCGGCTTACTTCAAAGTCTGGATTTTTGATAAGTATGAAGACGATTTGACCCAAAACGACTTTCTTTTGCACATGTTTTATGATTGGCTAATAAATCTTGCTCCATTTTCTCAACCAATCAGGATTAGAATCAGAACCAATCAATAATTGGTGACACTCGTTTTACCGCGCTTTTTTTCAGTTCTGATTGGTTCATTAAATTATTTGTCCGTGTTGTGATTGGCTCAATTAATTACAGTGGTTTTGGTTTTACAATATTTTGTTGAAGACAGCTGTACAATAAGAAGTAGCTTTAAAATTTAGAAAATATAGTGCTGAAACATTTAAGTGAGAGCATAAGTGGCTATTTAATTAGTAAAGGCTCGTTTTGCAAAAGTGCCCTTTAGCTCTGATTTTAACTGAATGACAAGATCACGATTTCACCCATACTGTTCTGCAATGCAGAATATTATGGTTAAATGATATCGTAGTGAAGTTTTTTTTTTGTGCTTGATTACAAAGAGTATGAAGTATGCTCCAAGTCTTTGACATTGTGCTTTTTTTTACTACTTAAAAAATATGCCCAATTTCAGTCCCTTGCTGGATTCTTGTTTTCTCCATTCCTTAATTGTTTGGCCCCTCGGTTTCCGCATGGTAGATTATCATTTTTGTGTCTACCAAACTAGCAAAAATTTTCTTAGTTTTTCATAAACATGTGTTACTTAAAGCAGCTAGAATATAAAAGTCTTTAAAAGGACCTCTGTTGAGGGCACAACATTGAAAAACGTTCATAACCCTTTGGTCACTCATGGCAGTCATGGGACACTCTTGTTGCCCTTATAGGAGACCCTAGGAAAATGACACCCACGGGACTCCTGGTGATACATTGGGGAAGTCCCGTGTAATACCAAGTAAGGCCCGTTTGAGTTCATTGGCGGATACAGACCTTCAGATAGGGAGGGAGCTGTCTTTCTAGACCCTAAGATAAGTGGGTCGGGGGGAGGGGGGCAGTCTTAAATTTTTTTTCGGCCCTTCGGGCCTCAGTTTGGTCTAAAAATAAGGGCCCTGGCCACTCCTCCACTAGAGTTATTTATTTGTTTTGCGATCACGAGGGAATGTTTTCAAAGGTGTCCACAACAGAAGTCTAATAGCAAGGTGAAATGTATAGCAAGAAATTTTAATAAATCAAATAAAATTTTGAAGAGAATGCAGAAAATGTCACCTATTCTAGTTTCCTGATGAATGACTGAGGTCAATTTAATAAAACTGTGAGAAGTGTAGCCATTTTTTTAGAGTCTATAGCTATAAAAATATAGCTAAACCTCTAAATTACACTTGTAAAAGTTTTATTAAATTTACCCCTGGTCTTATGCTAGTAGATACAAAGCTAAGTTTTGTCTAAAGGAACTGGCCAACGGAGGGCACGTGCGGCGCACGTGTAGTATTTTAGAGAAAGAGAAATTTTAATAGAAGGGTGTCAAAACTTATAACTTGAGAGACTGGGTGAGTTAATCCCAAGGCGGTTGCCTTTGATACCTGTTTTGGCGTAAATTTGTTACATTCTGCTTTATAACTAATTATTTACAGTAAATTCTAATGCTAATAATGCTAATAACTAAAAATAAATGAAGGAAGGTATTAACCAATTAAACGAACCCAGCTGTTTCTTTACTTCATGTTCTCCCTCCATGTTCTTTTTAGTCAACAGTTCACAGGGTTTTTTTTATTTTGTTTTGTTTAGTTTTTTTTTACATTATTTCCATCGTAGTGTTTATTTCAGATATGTACAGAAGCCCTTTTGAGTTTCATCAATTCTGATTTAGATTGCACAGCTAGGTTGTTTTGATTTTACATTATCTAAATCAAGAACAAAAAATGTATCTGTTTTGTTCATTAACTTTAGGAACCCTCAAGGAGGCTAGTTTTTAGTGTAACGACGACTCAGGAATTGTGCGAACAGCAAATACTAAGAACAACAGTTTAATACGAGTGAAAAAAGTTTTTACTTCCGCTCTCTTAAAACCTGCTTAGAACGTTTGAGGGCTTAAATTACTTTTAATGTGTATCTAACCAATGAACAGACGTTTTTTATTTTCCCTTTTTAGTTTCTTTTCCTTTCAGTGTTTGACGATTTGTTTGCTTGCGAGTAAGTCACGGTTTTGTTTAGTGGTGTATAAACAGGTAGACCCCCGTTATACCTACACCTCCCACCCCTCCCTTAAACCCCCGTTACAGCAGACGAATTCTCGTCCCAGCCCCAATCGGTTTAACTATGAGCGGCCTTGCAAGTTTGGCGAGGGTTGATTCATCGAAACTGCGTTTTTTGTGCATCAAGTGTCGTGTCCTTCATTATTTGGCGTCCAAAATGCCCAGAGTAGTTGTAAGAAATGTAGAGGACGAAGAAAATTTAACCATTTCGTTTACATTTGATGAAAAACAACGGAAAATGCAGCGAAGCAAGGGCGAGATTTTATCCAAGGCGTTGACTAGGATTGAACTTTCTTGTAAGAAGAAAACGAAAAAGGCGAAAAGGAGTGCCGATTGTAGTGATACTGGTGACAGCGGAGGCGGAAATGCAAGCCTTTGGTTTAATGGTGAGCCGGTTTGCTCAAGCCTAACCAACAAAGATGCCTGGAAAGATGGTTCCACTTTAAAGATCGGATCTGAAATTTTTACTGTTGAAGTTAATCCACCAACCGTGTTGTCTCTGTCCCTTCCCGACAACATTATGTCAGGATTTCCTGTGATGCCTGTTCTTAGCTTAGAATTCGCCGCTAAACAACATTGCAGCTACACTTGGTACAAATCAATTGATCACAGCGTAGAACAAGCGAGCTCCAGCCCGGCATCACCAAAAGAAGTGTTCAGTTGGACAGAAGTCGGTAGTGAGTTTTGGTACACGCCCTCCATACTAGATGTTGGTTGTTTTCTCAAACTGATGTGCATACCTGGAAGTGCCACGAGAAAAAGTGATTTGAAATCTGAAATCACAAGCTCAATAACAGTGGCTGCTGGACCAGGATACTGCCCTTTTGATGCACGACACATGTACACCAAAAAACTAACAACCGACAGCAGAACTTTGAGAGTGGTGTCATACAATATCCTAGCTGATACGTATTCCAAGGATGAATTTGCTCAAACAGTACTGTATCCTTATTGCCCACCTTATGCGTTGGACATAAACTACCGTCAGCAGTTGCTACTCAAAGAAATTTCTGGTTATAATGCTGATTTAATCTGCCTGCAGGAATGTGGATTTAAATTGTTTCATAATATTCTCAGTCCTGCACTTGAAATGCTAGGTTTTGAAAGTCTCTTGAAATGCAAAGGGGGTGAAGTACCAGAAGGAGAAGCTATGTTTTTCCGTAAGAGCAAGTTTTCACTTAAAAGTCAGCACGACATTATGCTAAATGAAGCACTGTTGAAAGATCCTGTACAAGAGCTGTTATTAGACCACATTTCAGCGATACCAATTTTGCTGGGAACACTGCAAAAGAGGAATGCAGTTGTCCAGCTTTTAATGCTTGAAGTAGATGGCCAAAAGAATCAGTACCTCTGTGTTGCCAATACTCATCTTTACTTTAAACCAAGCTACCCTCACATACGATTGCTTCAGGCCACCATTGTTTTAAATCATGCGCAAAAAGTGATTTCCCAGTTCTGTGCTGAATCAGTCTCAAAAGGTCTGCCTCCTCCTCAAGTAGCATTTCTTTTCTGTGGAGACTTCAACAGCAACCCAAGAACAGGAGTTGTTGAGTTGATAACAACTGGCAAAGTTGATGCATCACATCGTGACTGGACATTATGTGATGACAAGGAGGAACACTGTACAACTCTCTCTCTCCATCATGATTTCAGTTTATTCTCTGCCTGTGGCTTTCCTCCTTTCACAAACTACACTGGGGGTTTCAAAGGAACTTTGGATTACATTTTTGCTGATAAAAGGCATCTTGAAATTGCATCCGTTATGCCTTTGCCAAATGAAGAGGAGCTTTCCTCTCATTTAGCTTTGCCATCAGTTGTCATGCCCTCAGATCACTTGGCATTAGTCTGTGATCTACACTGGAAAGAATAAAATTTTCTGTGCTGTTGGCGCAAATTTGATTACCGTAAATGATGGATTAAACATCGTGGTGGTTATTTGGGTGCGGCACTTATTCGAGAGAGGCACTTATTTAATCTGCGTGTAGAAGAACACTGAAGGGAATATAGAGAGAACTCAGTTGTGTGCAAGAAAAAGGACAAGTGTGTAGACCTCGAACCTGTTGTATGAACCTGGTTTCCTTAAACTTTAGAACTCACGAGCTGGTCGTGGTCTTATTTGTTGAGGGATATGGCTTTGATATCTCTTTATATTAAACTCCAAAACAAAGGTGGGACATTTATTTGTAAATACCCAAATTAGCACTGCGGGGCTTATTCAAGAATGACACTTATTACATTATTTTTGGCAAAGGTGCAGCACTTATTCGAGAGTGGCGTTTATTGGTGTAGCGGCACTTAATCGATCTTTTACAGTATACAGTCAAACCTCCTGTAAGGGACCACCCAAAATGCAAAGACTTAGTGGTCACTTACAGAACTGTATTAACAAGGAATAAATAATTACTGAGCAGTACTCTCATAGTTACATCATATAGAACATATACTATGTGCTGGAGGCCCTCTTGTTGACAGGGTCAGAAGTATCTAATAAATCCCAATTATAGTAGCACATGCTCTGTTGGTAGAAAAATAACAAAATTAAAGTAACTGAACACTGGGGTATGTCAAGCAAACACTTGTATTGATCTAATGTGGTAGGAAGTTCTGAAGTAAACTCTCTAAAATTAATTGTAGGTTCTGAGATTTACAACAAAAGTCAGGTGTTTACATTTTTTAATATTTTTTGCTAGTGTTTTGGATAATGTTCTTTTAGTTTGGTCTGTACATGAAGGATAAGAATGGAATGGAATTTCTGTTTTGTGTGGGTTAAAACAGATTATGAAAAATTAATTTGATAACTAAAAGGTAGAATTTGCCACTTATAGCAAATGTTTATTAAAAGTAGTGGTTTATACCCAAACCTAAATGTTACAGTATTGAGCTTTGTTATCTACTGTACTTTAACGTTTGATCAAATGTTCTTGCAGTTGTCACCCATTTGAGAATCCATTAGAGACTCATGCATTATTCATGATTCATGGCAGGTCTGTAGCGAGGCCTTTTTACTTTTTACCTGTTGGGGGGGGAGGAGGGGTGATCCAACGAGTGCAGTGACCGAATGAGGCTGGAGGTGCAAGTGTGTAAAATTGTATGAGGCTGCATTGCATGCATTTTGAAGGCAGTATGATATGAACACTGATTATTTCTCAAATTTCTGACCTTTAAAATAATGTAATTGATTACCTTGGCAAAGAGACAGGTGCTTCTTCAAACAGATCAATGATTTCTTGCAGATTATTGTCTGCTAGATAGTGGATATAGAGAACCTCTCTTTTGTCATTCTGGCTTAGACAATAATATTTGTATCTGTCAAAGAGAACTTGCTTTTCTTTCACATCTGCAACCAGAGTAGGAATAATATATAATAATTGTTCGTAGGGCAAAAAGATTTCGATACATTTTGTCATTTATTTTGCTGCGTTATCAGTGAGGTAGAAAAGAACAAGACCTGTGGGGCTCATGCGTGGGGGGTGGGGTTGTGACGGCGCCCATCACAACTGTTCCCTGCGGGTATGATAAGGTAGCTTAGTAGCTTTGAATGTAATCTAGGTTGTGAACAATCAGGGAGGCCAGTGCTCTGAGGCAGTGCAACCTGCGCCCAACATATGATTTCCATGAAAAATCTTAGATTTCCTAGTCGCCCAAGAGTAAAAGTGGATGCTGCTGAAGCAGTGCTCTAATGTTGCCCGCTGGTTAAGTAAGGAATTCAGAAGTTTTCCCCCCCCAGTTTTCTGATGGGTGAAAAGTCGCTGAATTTTGAGGGCCAGGTACTTTTTAGGGGATTAAGGGGCAGGAAAAAATAATATTGAAAGGAGAACTCTGATAAAGGTCGAGGACGAGGAGTGATTTCCATATTTTACTCTGATATTCAGTTATCAAACCAAACAAAAAAAATATAAAATTTTAATAATATTAAAATAGCAGAGCACCATAGGTAAGAAAATTTGGTCAGCCATGCATCTGAGAAATTTTGGTAGTCACGCTTTTAGTCCTTGCTAAATTAAATCTATATATTATTACTAATAATATTTTAATAATTTCAGGTTGGTTGCTGGGAAGCTGGAAGAAGGCCCTTGTATTTGCAAAGTAATGATTGTAGCTACACCATTATTTGCTTTGAATTATTCGGAATTTTTTCAATTCAGCAAAAAACAAATAATGGTACTTCCGTTGTTTACTCGATACGGTATCTTTATTTTTTCCTTATCGCAATTGAAGCACGTGGTTCTAGGCACGTGACTACGGGGGGCGTTACTGATTGGACTGCAACAAGGGGGCTGGGCCAGCAGATTCAGAAAGGAAGCAAACAGTGACAGCAGATATTATTCTCCTCTGCAAAATTTAAGCCCGAGCTGAGTTCTTTAACACATTATCGAGTGATTTTCGCGTTAAACATCTGCATTATAGGTATTGGTCCCAGTTAAAGCCTTTGTTATCTCGTGCTTCGCTAATTGGTCCTTCGTCATTCGCGGCTGCGTGTTTATTGTTTCATGTTGATCCTGGATTCTGGCGCGAGATTTATCACCAGTATTATGGCTTGATCGATGTCGTCTCTTGTAAACGGACGAATTGAACAGTATATTGCAAGATTCTTAGGCTTGAACAAGTTATCTTTCTTCCTGATGCACGTCATTTATGGTATACATGAACTGATTCCCTCAGAAAATGGCTGAATTTGGAAAGGTTTCCTCCGCAGTGAATCGCGATCAAGATGACATAGATCTCGAACAGGTAAGCTTTTAAATGCTATCGAACTATTTTAATTGCATTTTGATGACATCTTTTTTTGAACTGATAGGTCAAGCCACAAAACCGCGTAGATAACGATGAATTTAGGAAGGTTTTCGATCGGCCATATGTAGCGCCGAGGCCTTCAGAATCAGGATATGATCCCAGTAGCGAAGTCCAAACCTCTCATTACGACTACAACTTTGATGAAAAAGATTACAAAAGTAAGTTGACAATTTTGTATTCCTTCTAGAAAATTGCTTTTATTGACCATGTATTTACTGTGTTATTAATTTAGCAATTATCTTTTTTTCTAAAACCCTTAAGAATGTACTTCGTTTTGGTCAGATGTTAGCCTAAATAAGCTTTTCTTAATATTGTAAAATCGTAAACACCATATATGATGGTCATGATTTAGCTCTTTGCGATATTGCTGGTTAAGCATGTTTGAGACTATGACTCTTCCAGATAGTTTAGAATACTTGATCAGATTTGCAACCTATACGCGTTTGAATATTTGGTTTGTTCTAAGCTAAAATAAGAACTAACATGTTTTGTGTCAGTGAACCATGTGATCTCAGACAGTAAACCGTTCCAACAAAGGTTGGAAAGGGCGACTTTTATCTTTTTTTATGGAAATCAGCTGTCCTTTTAAATCTAAGGGTGGATTTCTCTTGTCGGGTAATTTTTACATGCATGTACATGTAAAATTTTACTGGCATAAATAAAATAGAGGCAAGACAAGGAAAAATTAAAGCTATGTTCATTCAATGGAGTGTTGAGCTAAACATGAAGTTTAGTGAGGTTCAACTTTGTTGTTTACGCCAACCATTCGTACACTGCCTCTATTTTATTTGCAAACGTAAATTTTGTGCACTTACACACGTACAAATTGCGCAGGAGTGGAAATCCACCCTTACAGAAGACCATTTTTCATGCATTGGAAAGTATCCTAAAATGTTACCTAGGAAGTGGCCATTTCTGCATTCTGGTAAAACATAATTTTTCCTGACAGGGCAGAAAATTACAAGAAAAAACCCACTCTCCACTAGATTGAATTCTCTATATATGATAGGGAAGGAAAAGGAACCACTGTGTGCTGCACATGCGTTAATCGTGCATTATAAAATGGAATGCACTGTTCTAAGTTATAAAGGTCAACTATACTAAAAATATAATAAAGTAATATTCTTGCATGAAGCGCTTATGATTTCAGGATGATCAGAAGTTTTTCAAATGGGAAGTTTAATAGTTGAAGTTAGTGGCTGATTTTACCGTCTTTTACTACATAATAATAATAAGAAGACGAATATAGCACAGCAGAGTAGCTAGCCTGGCCATGATCTTACTAGACCAAATAGCTTTTGGGCCAGCGCGAAAACCATACCAGATAGTGGTGTTAAATCCAGACCTTCAGATAAGGGGGGGTCATCCAGACCCTGAGATAAGGGGGGAACCTCAGTCTCAAAAAAAATTTTATTCAGCCCCTCGGGCCTCAGTTTGGTCTAATAATAATAAGGGAGTCCGGGGGGCCCTCCCATTGATCCACCACCAGATACAGCTCCTGTTCACACGTAAGAATGGTGCTTTTGGCGTGATTTCTGTAACGGAGCAAAGCTGTGCTGCGCTGTGTCAATCTCTAAAGTAGATGGTCACATATTGGATAGTTGTTATACTGGATAGCTTTTCATGTTGGCATGAAAAGCTGTCCCGTATAGGGTGAACATATCCTTAAAATAAGTGTCAAATTTTCTGGGGTTGTCAACTGACAGTGTTAAATGACCTGAAGCCAGTTCTTTAGCTAGCAGTGGTTTGTGCCCCTGGCAGCTTATTTTTACTTTTGGACAAGAAGAGACTTTTTTCCATAAACACGGTATGATTGCACATGTTCATAGCCCATGTACTGATAATTAAATTTTATCTCCTTTTCCTTTGTTGCACACAGAAAAGGATCTGCATGTAATTATAGCAAAGAAAATAGGAAACATGTGCACACAAATTTATTTAGTTGCCAGAGAGGGGCTTAAACCTCAGTCCTAACAGTCTCAGGTTTTAATATTTTCTCATCTCATAATAATAAAATAAGATCTTGCATAATTTGGGCACCCTCGGCTGAGTATTGGTCTACACTATTAACCCGTAATCAGTGGACATGTCAACCAACATTAGTAGCCAGCTCTCGGTGTACAATTCAGTTGACATCAGTTGGCCGTGTGTTGGCCAACATGCCGATCTAAGTATTGGCCAATAGTGTCAACCTATACTCAGCTGAGGGGTGCTGAAATTACACAACACCATAAAGTATTTTGTAATAAGTATTATTTGATCGGGAATGGTAATGATCTCCTGTTTTTTTCTAGGTCGTCGAATATCTTCTACCAGGTACCATGAACCTTTGCAAAGAATTCACTCCCGTTCCCGTTTGCACAAGCTAGACAAAACCGATGGCAGCTCAAGAAAGGAAAAGAGAAAATCTCGAGAGCTGAGAGAGGTTAATGTTTTACCAAAAATCAATGAAGGACAAGAGCATAAAGGTCATTACAGTGATTCAGATGAAAGGCCTCGCAGCTTGACAGATTTTCCTTCAGTTAAGAAGCGTCATCATCATCATCATAGACATCATAGCCGGCATCATCATGAACCAAAAGATGTCAAGGATAAGAAAGAAAATAAAGATGCTAAGGATCTCAAAGATCTCCGAGAGAAATCTCACCATCATCATCATCGGCACCATCATCATCGTCGTCCCCCAATACCTGCTGTTCATCAACACAGGACCATTTCCGAGAGGGAGCAGCTTCAATCTCGGCTTCGTTCTGGGGCTCTAACACTGCGAGAGATCGAACCCATCCAAGAACGTTTAGCTACTGAAACAGATGAAGCAAGCCAGTTGGCTAAAAGAGATTTAGAAGAGATGGCATGTAAGTTATGATAATTTAGACAGATATTTTACTAGTGGCTCTTTTATAACCAGAACTACAGTTAGCTTTTGCTTATAAGACCCCCTCTCCCCCCACCTCTCCCCAGTATATAGGCCCATCTACCGATCTACCTGTGGACAAAAATACATCAATTATGTGCACCTCCGAATATAAATGTTTAGACCAAAGTCCTAGGCTTGCAGCCTTATTTGCCTGGAGCAAAATGCTTAGATAGTGCAAACCACTCCCTGTCCCACCCCCATTACTGTGACTGCTTTAAAAAAGGATGTTTTCCTCAGGGCATCGTTTTGAGGACCTCAGAGGATTGAGAAGGCGCCGCCCCCATCTTCCACGCCATAAATCTGGGATGAAAACACATTTTAGCCACACAGATATCAGCAAAAGTCTTCAACGATTTCCTGTCAAGTATGATCATAGCCCTCGTGAGGTAAAGTGAATAAATCCTTTAAGCCCTGAGAGTGATCAGCATCAAATTTCTCCTTATAATATCAGTGGTTTGTAAAACAGAGTAGTCATGAGAATTACAGACATGATCACTCAAGACGAATTTGCTTGATATTTTATCAACTTCTTCCCACTACTTCTGTAGGAAATGAATAGGGGCAGCAATTGAGAATTCAAACTTTGATCTTAGGGGTTAAAGGGTTAATGGAATTCTTCTTTGAGCAGTTTGAAGATTAAATATATAACTGTTCAATGATTGTCTTTGAATTCAACAGAGGAATTAAGTCACATCTTGCATGTTGTTTGTGTTGTGGTTATAAACAATACGCTCTTGAAATTGCTTAAATCCTAGCAGTGTGTGGAACACTTGCCAAACATTAACCTTTTATATGGCATATTGCTTTGCGTGAGTCTCTTGGTGGCTCAGGGGAGGATTGACGTTGCTTTAGTAACCGTTTATTAAAAGCCCTGAAAGTGATCAGCATCAAATTTCTCCATGTAATGTCAACAGTTTAGTAGTGAGAATTACGGACATGATCACACAAGATGAATTTGCTTGATATTTTATCAACTTCTCCCCACTACTTCAGTACAAAATGAATTTGGGTAACAAATGAGAATTCAAACTTTGGTCATAGGGTTTAAGGGTTAAATTATCTTTCAGGCATTCATAGAGTTGGAACAACTAACAAAGCATGGAGAAGAAATGGAGTGGAAAGAGACTGCACGTTGGATCAAGTTTGAAGAAGATGTTGAAGAGTCCAATCGATGGGGAAAACCACACGTAGCTTCACTTACATTTCACAGTCTCCTGGAATTACGCAAAGGATTGGAAAAAGGTGAATAGTTCTTTTCTTTTTTGGTGCAAGAAGTCAGCTACAAAAGAGCTGAAAGCTACTAAAAGCAGGCAGGCACTAACTGTCACAGTATGCATTGTTTTGTGCAAATGGCCTGGGGCCTTGTTCTGGTCTTTGTGTTCTTTCACCTTGTAACACTTGGTATTAAAAAAGTTGTTTTCGTTTATATCATCAGTTATATGTCATCTTGTCCTCAATATCTTCAAACTAATAGGTCAGACAGAAGAAGGTGGATGGGGAAATGAAAAGTCTTGTCTGATCTGGCTTTTCAGGAAATAGATTTTCTGCTTTGCAGTCAGCGGAAAGGCAAGAGTTTAGCTATTACAGGTTAAAATTATATTCAGGTTAAAATGTTTTAACCTAGGTTGATTCTCAATTTCCTTTGTCCCTTAGCCCTAATTCATTAATTTATTGTTAGGGTTAGGAGACAAAGAAAATTGAGAATCAACCTAGGTTAAAAAATTCTAACCTGAATTTAGTTCTGACCTGTAACAATAGTCAAGTCAAGTGAACTAAGACAAGCTTTTCACAGTGTATGCCCCAATTTATCGTTGCGTTTCATTAAGGTACTTTAACCCCCTGTTAAAGCAAACTAAGAAATTTTTGTCTTCAATAAATCTGTTTCTTTTTTCTTAAACAGGAACTGTGTTACTGGACCTTGAGAAATTTGATTTGCCAAGCATCGCTGAAGCTGTTGTGGAAAACATGGTCATCACCGACCAATTGAGCCAAACAAACAGTAACAAAGTTCTGGCAGCTTTACTTTTACGACACAGGCATCAGCATCAACTGACCCCTCCCATGCCAAGACGTCCTTCATCTTACAATCTTCTGGGGATGGCGAAGAAGGAGTCTAAAACCTCATTCCCTCCAGTTGATTCTGAACATAAAATACCTGTAGCAGAGACCGAAGGTGAAACAGTGGAAGATGGCACCATTCGGTTAAAAATTGATGATTCTTTTGATGATGTGGCTTTCCAAGAAATGAGCCAGGTACTGAAAAATCCTGATGCATATTACATATAAAGCTATTCATAAAATTTTTGTGTGTAATCTTTCTGAGAAAGTGGAGAAATGTTCGGCTTTGTATAGACAAGCCTTTGTTTGACCATATTCCGGAATTAAAAATAAATTAATAGTAAACTTTTGAGATCACTCGGTTGAGTATTCACAACACCATTAATCCTGTAACTCTGGTCGAAATACAGCTTTGAAATACCATTAGCTTTGCAGTGGTCCACAAATCTTGGCAAGAGAGATTTGTTACAAAATTTCTGTCTATTTTTATTCTGGAATACAATCAATCAAACATGCACTTATTGTCTTACATTGATTGAATAAATGCAAAACCAATAGTCTCTTAAGTTTTTGATCCACTTAGCAAACATGTATGACCCTGTTTGTATCCTAATATAGTACTTCCCTTTTGACAGTTGCCACTGACAACAGATGACAACAAAGAGCAAAAGCCCGACGTCACGTTTGCCCCAGAGCCAGTTGTCGAGGGAGGCAAAGGAGTAAAACAAGAATCAGACGTGAAAGGAAAAATTCCCGAGGGTGCGGAGGCCACAACGGTACTTGTGGGTACACTTGATGAACTTGAGCACTCGGTGTTGGCATTTGTTCGCCTTGCTAAGGGCTGTGACCTGAACATTACTGAAGTTTCTATTCCTGTCCGATTCTTGTTTGTCTTGTTGGGACCAAGTTCTGGCGAAGAGTCATATCATGAAATTGGACGATCTGTTGCTACCTTAATGTCAGACAAGGCGAGTCATTCATTTGATTTAAGAGGCATTGTCGAATTTATTTGTATAAGTGTACCATCTTTACTTGAATAAGCACTGCCTCTGATTAAGTGCTGCCTTCAATAAATGTTTGATTGAATCCAGGTACCATTCAGTTTACATACACAGTAGAGGCTTCGAATATTTCAATATTTAACCTCTGATTTTTGTATTGGATGTTCTTTTAGGCCTTTCACGACATTGCTTACCGTGCGGACTCCCGTGAGGATCTCTTGACGGCTATAAATGGTTTTCTGAGTGATACAGTTGTTTTACCACCTGGAGAGTGGGATCGTAATGTCCTTTTGCCCATTCTCATAGAGCAGAGCAGAGCCCTGGCACGGAGAAAAAAGATGGCGAAGGCTGGTAAGAGCCTAATCAGGTTTTCAAACAGGGAGCCCTGGAGTCAAGCTCTCCCTTACATGGTGCATAGAAAGTCAATTTTAAACTTTGCCTTCGCGAACATGTTTTAGCCCAGTAGCCATTTTAACTAGGCTGAAAAAAAACTGTTTGATGAGCAGGATAATGTATTACTCCTTATCAATATTAATTACAGTACAAGCAGTATTATTTCTTGCTTTTTATTAATTCATTGTAATGATAAGTGTCAGTAATATTTTCACAATGTCAGGTCAGCTTGAAGACCAGTTCTCAATCCACATGAATGTATTAGGAATTTAAACGAATTTGTCGTACGGTACTTTGGAATAATAATGATTTTTAATCTCCCAAAAAATCTTCACTCACCTGTTGGGCAAGTGGAAAACGGAATTCACTAGCCCGAATGTCACATCAAGGAGCCCCAGGCTTGTGGATGCAGCTCTCTCTCTATGCTGCCATAAGGTTATTAGCAATCATGTGAATTTACCTCAAATTTCTTTTTAAAATGGATGTCCACCGGACACCTGGACTCCCTTTCTGTCTAATTTTATAATGGTCACTCTTAAGACTTAAGGGGTGAAGTGTAGAGGCTGAACCTAGGTTGGTAAGGGCCACAAGTTTATTAGCCTTGGGCTATTAAGTGTTACCCTTGTTAAATGAAGGCATTATTTATTTATTTACAGGGTTGTCATTAAGAGCTGGGGGCGGGGGTTTTTCTCCGGCTACTAAGGGAGTGGCCCCCGGCTACTTTTATTGGAAAATAGAAGAAAAATAGAGCAAAAAGAAATCCCTAGCCGTTTGATTCCCCGCCTACTTGTTGTATTTACCCGGCAACTTGAAATCTTAGTGACAACCCTGATTTATTTATTTATTTATTTATATAAAGAGCATTCTTTGTTTTCAGCTCTTGCAGCAGTTGCAGAGGAAGAAGAAGATGATCCTCTGGAGCGAACAGGTTCCTTTTGTGGTGGACTTATCCAGGATGTCAAACGACGGACCAAAGTTTACCTCAGTGACTTCACAGATGGTTTTAATATGCAGTGTCTTTTGACGTCAATATTTCTCTACTTCTCCGTCTTTGCACCCAATGTTGCATTTGGGAGTATTCTAGCCAAGAAGACTGATGGTTGGTTGGGAGTCTCGGAAGTCATCTTCGCAACTTGCCTTTGTGGAGTACTGTTCGGATTGTTTGCGGGGCAGCCTTTGATTATCATTGGAACCACTGGCCCTGTACTAGTGTTTGAACAAACTATATACAATGTAAGTACCACAATATTCATATGCTTTGATTGGTGTTTCTTCACTAGTATTGCAAAAACTGTTGTTGGCTCGCTGTTTAGTGTCCTTTTAATCTCTTGTATTATCTTTTATTTTTCTGTATCATTATTATTATTATTATTAATTTCAGATAAATATAGATAACTTATTAGTACCATTTATTAGTAACATTTTAGACATTTTTGTAAATGCATTGAGGCATATGCGAAATGCGTAATAAGCACCACTGTTATTATTATTATTGTTACTATTATTACATCATCTGGTGATGACACCTGTCTGCAACAACTGCCTTTCTTAGTGACTAGGTGAGTGCATGAAAGCTTCCAGTTTTGGCACAGCCAACCCCTACATAGAATTAAATGGCCATGACTGGTAAATCTCCATGTCCTAGCCATGCATGAGCCCAATGTCCCATCATCAAGTATCAGTGACAAAGATGTGGTGAAAAATGGTGGTGGGAGGTGGGGGGTGTTGGGGGGCTGGTGGTGGCAGGTAGGTGAGATGCAAGGGCTTAATATCTTGAAATTTATTTTGCCCAAAGAACTGAAATCAAAGTTGTTTGATGTCGTCATACTTTTTTCAGTAACTTGTTATCAAATATCTTTAGTTTAAAATTTCAGATCCTTTCTGGATAACAGCCCACCTACGAGAAATAAGTGTTAATGTTGACCTAAGGGAGGGGTAGGTGGTCCGTTACCCAGAAACCACAATTGATCATAAAGTTCATTGCTTTAGGCAGATATTATGCTTGGCTAAATTTCTTTCACTTTTTTTCATGCTAGTTTTGTAACAGTTATCAAGTGGAGTTCCTTGTGTGGCGCTGTTGGATTGGCTTCTGGGTCATGATTATTCTTTTTGGTGTAGTCGCACTGGAAGGTTGCTTTTTAGTGCGTTACTTCACGCGTTTTACTGAAGAAATATTTGCTACCCTTATCTCTGCAATTTTCATCTATGAAGCTATTCACTTTTTAGAAGAGGTAAGAATATTACTAGTTTGTTGCAATTCTGTTTGTGGTATCTGAGTTTCCTTTAACAGAAACCTTATGCGTATGAGTTCTATTGAAGTTTAATACTCAACTAATAATATAGTTAAGCTAATGAATCAGCGGAGGGGTTTTTGGAAGGTTTTGCGAGCCTTATATAATAATTAAATATGAGTACCAGTAAGCAATATTAACTGCTAAAGAGGAAGGGGATTATTTCAATGGCATGTAACTGTCAAACTGTCAGCCTGACCATCAGTGCCTTATTTCTCCTAGCAATGTCACTGCGGGAATCAATTCGCCACTTTAAAAACGAGAACAAAACAGAGCTGAGTTAGCTTTCGCAAAGACTTTTGAGATCGTTACTCAGGGTTTGCAAATTTTATTGATGAGTGGAGTCAGTGTGACTTCTGCTTCACAAATTTTGGGGTCATTTTGGAATATTTGGAGTCAAGTATGAGACTTTCGAGCACGTGGTCCTGGCATGTATACACTATCATGAGGGATACATGAAGTAGCTGTGGCGGTCCGCTGACCTGGAAAGGTCAAATCCATGATGGCGGTCATCGAGTAAAATTTGATCGTAATTTACCCTCTTCCTGTTTTGTTGTGCAGTATAATTCTTTAATTTTGATGATTTAATTAAGGTTTACAATGTTTACAATAAACATAAATTGTATTTGTTGCAAAAAAGGTAAGGACAAAACTGTCTTTGTTACCGAAAATTTCTGGAGTCGAAGTGGCTCCCTGTTTGTTACTAAAAATTTTTGGAGTCGAGGTGACTCCCTCCATAACCTCAGTGGAGTCATCTGAACAATAAATTTTGGTGTAAAATACGACAAATTTGGCGTATTTGCGAACCCTGGTTACTGGGGACGTCATTCAGCTATTTGCTAATTTGTTTACTGTGTCCACATTTACAATGCCAGAAGTCTTTGCAAAAGTTTACTTGGCCCTTCTCGTTTCTAAAGTGGCTAATCAAAGAAAATGGTCATAAAAACATAGAATTCCTTGATTTGTAAACAAAATACTCAGGGCTGTCAAGAAGCTAAGAGCTGGAACAAAAATCAACCAGAAGAACTTCTATACTGTTTATTTCCTTCCTTCATTTCATTTCATTTCACTTATTTTTCCATTTCATTACAAATAGTACAAGATAAATCACATACTAACGTTAGAGCTTAAGTCGTAGAAAGTTTACAATACTGCAATAAACTACAGTTAAGATCATTACTTTTAAATAAGGTTGTCACAAAAAGAAGAAAAAAAATTGAAGAATGGAAAGGAGAGGGGCCCATCAGGGTTAATTAATATTGTGCCCCTAAAATAATGTAATATTAGAAACTATTTTTAATTAGGTTCTAAAAAAACAGTGATTTAGTAAGTTTTTTAGTTGGTTTATTTCTGACTGATTGCGGAATACCATATATTCCAAGAAAACCTTCCAGTACAGTCCTAGGGGAAAATCTCCTTCAGTTTGTTTGAAATGAAGGTATAACTGTTGTCTACTAAAAAATTATAAATTGTACATACTGATCCACTTAAAATCTTCCCGATAGCTCTGCTCTACTAAGTGTCTTCATCAACAGTGAATGAAATGTAGGGAGCACTGTGTGGAAAATATTGAACATAATCATTACATTTCCAGGTGTTCAAGAAGGACCCTCTGGAGAAGTCTTACTCAGAAGTCCCTTGTGATGGAACAAAACAGACCAAAGGGCGGCCAAACACTGCCTTGCTTTCCACTATTCTGGTCCTTGGAACCTTCTTTGTTGCTTTCTATATGCGCAAGCTGAGAACAAGTTACTTTTTTGGAAAAAGGGTTTGTGTAATCATAGTTGAGTCTTAATAATGCGTATTGTCGATGTCCGTATGTAAATAGAATTTATATTATGTTGCAGGTAAATTCTTTTTCGAAGAAAACTTTGTTTTCTATGGTTTTTTTTAATTGCTTATAAGGACTAGCCATCTTTAACTAAAATTATTGTTTTCTTTCATTAGGCCAGGAGACTTGTCAGCGACTTTGGAATTGTCATTGCTATGGCTTCCATGTTGCTTCTTGACATCTTTGTTCATGACAAAGTCACAACACAAAAGATTTCCATTGGTGATCCATTTCATACTGGCTTCACACCATCACGAAATAAAGACAGAGGATGGTTTATTAATCCCGGGGGGATGACAAAGCCAATGGGATCTGGTTGGATTTTTGCCGCTATAATTCCTGCTTTGTTCATTGGAATTTTGTTATTTATGGAAACTGAACTAACTGGAGTTCTTATAAACAAGAAAGAAAACAAACTTCTCAAAGGAGCAGGCTTCAATTTAGACCTGTGTGTGATGGGACTGTTGTCGTTTATTTGTTCGTTAATGGGATTGCCTTGGATGTGTGCCGCAACTGTGCGCTCAGTCTCTCACCTGCAGTCATTGACAATTTGGAGTACATCTCATGCGCCTGGTGTAAAACCTCACATTGTTGAAGTAAAAGAGCAAAGAGTCACCAACATTGCTATACATGTACTCACAGGTAAGAATTGGGATTGACTTGAATCAGCTATACTACATATCAACGTATTCAGCTTTATTTCATGTAGGTCAGTTTTAGAGCTAAAACATACTAAAAATGTAGTAACATGTGTTTTGTAATTTTGGTGATTGGAAGAAATCTCTGCTAACCACACTTTTCTACCTAATACTCAGGGTGCCAACAAAGTCAGTTTTACAGCCTGCCATTCGGGCAAGCTGTAGCTAGCATCTACTAGCCCACAAGTCATTTCAACTAGCCCCAAAACCCTTTTTGATTGGCAGGATTGATTACAATCCTTCTGTATTTTGAACTTCATCCAAAAGCAGCACTTGCCTGTCGGACAAGTTAAGAACAAAACTCACTAGCCCGATAGAAAAATCCACGAGCCCCAGGCTATGGGACACGACTTTCTTTGCACACTAATACTACTACTACTAAATAATTATTTTTGTTGTTGTTGTTGTGGTTATTGTTAGTGTTTAGTTCATGATACAGAATTATTATTATTATTATTATTATTATTATTATTATTTATTAATACACTTAATTTAAAGAGGGTAGCACGGAATAGTTACAGAAACTAGTAAACTTGTGGCCCTCTATCTAAATTAAAATTACAAAAAGCATAAGATTCAGAATATACAAAGTCTAAGTACAAAATAAATAAAACTAAGGAAATATAAAAGTTCTACATCAATATGAATGAGTATAAGAGGTAATGATACGTTTAGTGAAATACATTAACGAATATGATTAAACTATGAAATGGTGTAATTCCTGCTACTCTTTAAAATTATAAGATATTTCGATAATTATTCGTAAAGGATTCTAGTGATACTGCATTTCTAAGGTCTAGACCTACCGCTACCGCCTTTGGTGACCCGATTAAATTTTGGGCAAATAAAATTTATATTACTATATCTAGTTACACAACTATGTTGCTGACTGTTTACTAGCTATAAACACATTTTCACTTGTGTTTCACTTGTGTTACAGGTATCTCAATTCTCTTAGCTCCAGCGCTTAATCGCATTCCTGTGCCTGTTATGTTTGGTGTACTTTTGTATCTTGGTGTGTGTTCGCTGTCTGGTATCCAACTGATAGACAGGTTAATCATGATGTTTATGCCACCCAAATATCACCCAGATGTCCAATATGTTAGAAAGGTATGAATTAGTTCGGTTTGATAAGATGAACTTCTGGGCAGCAGGCCGCTGTCTCAAACCCTGGCCTGACCAACACTCAGGGTCTTAGAATAACTGGGGAGAAAAAGTCGCCTTTGTAAAGACATTTGTAAATAGTTAGACTTCCTAGTCTTCTCAGATAAAGACGATAAACCATAAGCCCTGTCTCACAACCCTTGCTCATATAAACTCTGTGGGAAGTTTTAAGAACCGTGCACTAGACTTGGACCCCTGGAGCCTTGTTAGATCCGAGTAGCTTTGACATGGATTCAATTTCAGAAATTTCAGTATTCAAATTCCATATCCAAAATTCTCCAGACCGATCTCCATACATTTCTTTTAAAAGTAGTTGAGAGAATTTGGTTCATGATCAAAGTGTTCTCCCTTTGGTAATCAATTTAGTAATTCTCATAACCTTTACATTTGGTACATTTAACTTAGTTATGATCATCTATTTATCTGCTGATCATTGGCCAGTGAGCTTGATGGCTGCTTTTTTTCTAGCTCTACTAGACTTCAATTAATTTTTCTATTTTTTCTGTTTTTTTTACTTACTTTTTTAACAAAAAACATGAGAACTTAGGAACGAAGAATGTCCCCAAAAAGAAGAAAGCAAAAGTTTCCTAATATACCTATTTCACTAGTATCTGAACTACAGAATTGCATCATTTAATCAAGTAGTCATACTCTCATTTTGAACTAATCTCGGGAGATTCTGCCCAGCGTTATTGGAAGATTCTTTTGGAATAGTATTTTACAATCAATCAGAGACAAACCCTCGAAAAAAATGTTTAGAAAAGCACTTAAGCTGAGATGACACAATTTTTAAAGCTGTTTGGGGAAATCATTGTTTTTTTGAACTCCACAGTAAAATAATAATGTTAAATAATATTATTTTATGACATGGTTCTTCTATGGTTATTTCAGGTGAAAACAAAACAAATCTATTTTTACACCATAATCCAGTTAATCTGCTTAGCGCTGCTTGTTGCCGTCAAGTTAACAGTCCTGGCTTCTTCGTTTCCTTTCTTCATCATCTGCTTGATTCCACTGCGGAAAGTGTTACGAAAATTTTTTGAACAAAGTGAACTTGCAGAGGTATGTTGGCAATAGTTTTGAGCCGAGCATTGTTGCTGTTGCTGTAGGTTTTTTTTGTTTTGTTTTCAGAGATGCCCTCACAATATCCACATTTTAGTTAAGAGAGAGTGCTATTATTCAAAGCACACGTGGTTACCCATTGTTTTTGTAACCGGTGATGTACGACGATTTGTACAAGGGTTCCAGCGACCCCATATAGAAACAAGTAACCGCGGCAGTGTTAGCTCAGTCGGTAGAGCGTGTTGACTGCAGAGCGGGAGGTCGCAGGTTCGATTGCTGGGGCCGGACCAATACTCGGGGTCTTAAAATAACCGAGAAATGAAGGTACTCCCTTTGCACTGAACCAGGCTAGACCTTCGCGTGGCTCGGATGGTGGTCCCGTCTCCAGTTGGAGACGTAAAATATAGTGTCCACAATTAGTACTTTCGTGCAAAACTTGACATTCAAATAAAAAGTGCAAGTGCAAGTGCAAGTCACCTTATTTAAAGGAGATTATGATACAAAATATTCCAACAAATACTACCTGTAGCAATAACATTACGTGAAATATACAAGCCAATATAATTATATTATTTACATTTCAATAAAAATTTCATCACTTTAGATTTAAAAATGCAGACATTTGAAGCACAGCGATTTCAAAAGGCAGAATGTTCCATCTATCCACTAACCTATGAAAGAAACGTTTGTATGATGTATAGGCAATCATCTGTTGCAAGCTTTGATCTCTATTTTTGCCACAGAGAATGTTCACTATTAAACAACTTTGTCCAACTATATCTACTTGTATCCTAACTTGGATACTGTGTACATTAAATTCTCTTCCAAGAAGTGGATGTGTTCAGACCTCTTCTTGAAAGATATTCCCTATGGTTCAATACACCTCCAACAAGTCACCACTAAATCTTCACATTTTGGTGGTCACTTACAGGGGGTTGACCGTATGTGGGTAAATAAACTATTTTATTGAATGATTGTATATTTTAATGTATTTTTTTTCTTGTGCACAGCTTGACAATGAAGAACCAGCTGATGATGACAGTGACTTTGATGAATACGAAAGCGTGTTCTTACCTGTATAAACAAACACTTGAGAGGAGAAGTCATTTTGCCATGATGGTAGCAAAATTTCTGGATGAAAATGTCACTTTAAAATTGAATTTGCATTGTTTCAAACTGCATCGCCCTTATTCAGTTTCGTTTAATTTGTCAAATGTTGGCAAAATTTTCTGGGGATGACTCCAAAAGGACTGTATTTAAGTTTAGAAAATGAAGAAGATGTTAGTGTTTTGTTCACCTACTCGATAAAGTGGGCGTGTGCAATTAGGAAGTTTCATGTTGCCGTCGTGCAACAACGGCCAAGAAATGTACAAAAAAGCAGCAACTGCAAAGTTGTTGTTTTGCCAATCTAAAGCTGTAGCTTTTTTGCCATTCTTGCTGCTGTCGCAACGGTCATCGTGATCCAGAAATTTTGCTACCATGGTGATGTGACGTCATACTTCTGTCTACTCTCATCTTTGCCTGTCTGTCTCGCCTACCATGGCAGTGTCACGTGGTGGTTTGCTGTTTAACTCTTCAAGTGCCAAGAGTGACCAACATCAATTTTCTCTTAACAACATCAATACATCATTAAGAGAAAAGTTTATGAGAATAAATAAAATGATCACCTAAGGAAAAATGCTTTGATCTTTGAACAAATTCTCTCAACTAATTCTTAAAGGAAATGTATGAAGATCAGTTTAGAGAATTTGTATGTGGATCTTAAGCCTTAAAGGGTTAAAGTGGATTTGGCCAATGATCGGGTGGTCATTTTTGCCTGTCAAAGCATTTAACAAGAAAAATTAAGAGGAACATTTTGATGCTTGAATGCGTCCAGCATAATTATCTAAGAATGAAAAATCATAAAATGTCAAAGTCTAGCTTAGGTATAGGTTGATGAAATGATAGAGAAGAATTTTCACAGTATTTTCAGGTTTAATATAATCATGGTAGTTTGTTAAGCATTTTTCGTTGTATAAAGAATATGAACCCAAATCGCTTCCAGATCTAAATGATTTAAATACTAGGAGTGATTGGGGTTAACAGAATGGATTTTGTTACAATACATTTTGATACATTTTCAAGCAGACAATAATGAAAATTAAGAAAATTAGCTATATGATCATGAAATGAAAGGGTCTTGATGTAGCACCAAATTCTCAGAAAGAGCTTACAAAGAAATGTCACATGTAACTTTCAGATAATTATTGAGAGTGGTTTGCTACCTTGACAACGCAGGGGCGGATCTAAGGGGAGGGTGCAGGGGGTGTGCCCCCCCCCCCCCCCGAGATGACCTGCGGTTTTCTAATACAACTGGTATTATGAAAAAAAAATCTATGTGGTTTATTGGTGTTGAAGTAGAGCAAGAGACGAGTGCACCCCCTCCTAAAAAAATCGTGGATCCGCCCCTGCAACACATATCTTATGCATCATTCACATTTAACAGGGATTTAATAGAGTTAACCAAGCTACAATTTGGTTTAAGATAGATTTAATTTACTATTGAAGTGTAAATATTGATGGCTCTTGCAGCCACGTAAGATTGGTATGAATAATTTTTAAGAAAAATGTGACCAGAAAATTGTACATAGTATAATAATTAATAGTATTGACCTCTTCGTTTTATCATAAACGTTTATTTTGCAGCCTATATGATTGGGTGTGCTCTTTGTAACATTGAACTTTAACTATTATTATTCATTCAAAATAGTTCTCCGTTTCTGATTTGCTTAAACCCCACGGATAATTCTTCATATCCAGCTAGCGTTGATTAAACTTGGAAGACGTTTGCGATACTGTTGGGTTGGTCCCTACCTCTATTTGTTCCCTTTATTTGACTGTCTGTAAGACGGACATCTCTCCCAGGGTTCTATCTAGGATTTATCGTTTTGGGGGAGAAGTCCGCTTCCTAGGGGGGTCCGGGGGCATGCTCCCCCGGAAATTTTTTGAATGAATATGCGCTGAGATGCAATCTGGTGCATTTTGAGACCCAATTTTGAGAAATGTTACAGTGGTATTTTATTCTATTTTTTAGTCGTGATCACGTTCTGACAATGTTACACTTAGCTCCGATATTTTGTGGGGGGAAGCTGGGCATTTTTTGGGGGGGAGCGTCTACCCCTCAAATACCCTAGATAGAACCCTGTCTCCGAGACTAACACTTAGTACGGTCCGAAAGGTGTCCGTCTTAGTGGAAAATGACAACCGAAAAGACCTGGGGACGAGGTTGCGTTGTCTTCGTAGCTCAGTACAAAATGACGCAAAATTTCACATGTTTCACGGTAGCAAGAACAGCAAGAATACAACTCGATGGACGACATTTGCTATTTGGAGAATATCTGCAGAACTGAACATCCCTTTATCCCCTGAACTTGCCGAGGAACAAGCAACTGAAGAGAGGACCTTAGCAAGGATCGAGGTAAACTTGTTTTGGCCGGTTTTTTTTTTAACCAGTAATCATTTTGAATGAATAATAAAGCAATAATTTGATTAGACTTTTGTATGATCTGAGGAATTATGAATATATCGATCTCCATAATTCTTAGATCACACTTTTAAGTATGAAGTTAAAACCTCATTTGAGAAAGATGACGAGGCACATGTACCCACACTAGACATGCTTTAATGGAGCGATGAGAACAGGGTTTTTTAGGCCCGTTGAAGCGCATGTCCGGTTAGCGAGTTGTTAGCGATTGTAGCTCAGTAAATATCGTGGGTACTGCCTCGTACCCACAAGTCTCTCTGTCGATGAAAATGTGCGCGCAAAGGAAGGCGGGAAGGAGACAACGGGCGAGACGGCGCCTCGCCTGCCGTCTGTACCCTTCCCATCAGGCGCCAATGGTCCCTTGCGGTTCATCACCAGTCACTTGCATTTCGCGCTCGCCTCTACGATGAGAAAAACGAAGCGCCTGAGGAGGAGGCTGTCGTGGGTAGAGGTCGTGGATCGTGGGTGTGGGTAAATATCATGGGTAAAAAATCAGTTTAGAAAAGAGTAAAGTAATTGAAAAAAAAGTAGAAAAAAATTGTTAAAAAATTTATGAAATGAAAATCACCATGGGTAAATGTCGTGGGTATAAAAAAGTATCAGGAGCCAATAGGCTACTAAAAGTATAGAAAAAAAGTAAGACCAAAAAAATGAAAATATATCTTTATATAGCAAAAAGTTGTAAACTTCATGAAAGGAAATCTCCGCGTACACTCCAGTCCTATTCCCCTTCCCCGCGGTCAGCAAAGCAAACTACAAGCGAATCCTTAGTACAAATGGACACTAAAAAGGCATTTAGACGAAGTGAAAGAAACTATACGCTAAGATGTCAACATTTAAGAAAGGATGTTCAAGCGTCACAGCAAAAACTTTGTTCATACAAGAAAAAAAATTAAGAAAATTCAATTTTCGTTGTCATTGTAGTAAGATCCGTCTCGCACACCTGGTGTGATGCCAACGATTGCCAACATTTTTTGAGCATTTCAGTGGGGCAAGCCATTAAAGTGGATATCCAGTGGCGGATCGAGACCTACAGATAAGCGGGGGGGGGCGGTCTCAAAAAAAGTTTTTCGGCCCTTCGGGTCTTAGTTTGGTAAAAAATTAAGGTGGGCCGCCCCCCCCCCCGGGGGGCCCTCCCCTGGATCCATCACTGCTATCACTCCAATAAATATAAATACATGTATCGCAGAACTTCGCGAGCTCGGGGGAGGCCCATAAGGGGTGGGAGGACGGGAGAAAAATAACGTAAATTCAACCTCGTCCCCAGGGCGCTTTTTTTTATGGCGTAAATTATCCAAGAAATCTCAGTTTTTTTTACAAATGTTTAATATCTTATTCGATTCACGCAAATTGCACCTCGTTTTAAAGCTGAAAGCGCGTAGAACTCGTCAAAGTTTTATCAACTTGAGGGTGATGTGCACTCAGTAAAGCACTAGAATGATTTTAGTAAAAAAATGAGTAGCCGCTATTCACCAAGTGCACATCTCCAGGGGCGGATCTAGGGGAGGGCAAGGTGCAAGCACACCCCCCCCCCGAGATGACCTGCGCTTTTCTAATACAACTGGTATTCTGCAAAAAAAAAAGTATGTGGTTTATTGGTGTTGAAGTGGAGCAAGAGACGAGTTCACCCCCTCCTAAAAAAAGTCCTGGATCCGCCCCTGATTTCCCATAATACACAAAAAAAATTGCACAACTTTTGTTTCTGTTTTGTATTGAGTATTATACAGTCGTCCGAAGAGAAATTGAAGACAATACTTTAAATGCATAGGAGATGTACAAGCTCTTCCCCAGGGAACACAACTCGTGAAATAGCTAAAAACACCATGACAACACTCTATTTTCATTGTTTTCATTTGTTAGTCTAACTTGGAATTATTGTCACTATCTGAATTATCTCGTCCTTATTTTCAAGTTAACAAAAGAAAACAGTGAAATTAGAGCGTATTCATGACTGCGTACTATTTTTTATTTAAGAATTACCTAATCTGTATTCACAATTTGTGCCGTATTCTTTACGAAATATGTAGTGTTGTAATCAGCTATTTTCCTTCCATAACTAATTAGCAATTTTAATCAAGTTTACTTTATAGTGTATGGTCACCGTCATAATTTTGTCATTCTCGGTTCAGAGCAATGGAAGAGGACAGAAGAGAAGAGTCACGTTCTAGTGGTGAGTTAATGTTTGTAGTTAATATTGCAAAACGAACTCATTTCCGAGGTCTTTTTATAAGTTATGATAACAGAACTTAGTGGAGTACAATTCAGGGAGTAATCGGGCGAGTGCTGATTTCAAAAGTAATTTTAAACCAGTCGGCCGAGCGCGTAGCGCGAGCACAATTTGAAATTACAGGCCTCATTTAGATGAATAATAAAAGGCTGAAAGTTCTAATACCAATTAATTCTGTCAAGAACACGACGCGAAAATCTCTGGATTGAAATATTTATCAAAGTATAAATGATTTCTTATTTTATCAGGTTACAGCTTCTAAAGCACAAAACGTCGGAGAAACTATCCGAATATGGAGCTCTAAATACATGACCTTTTCTAAATACACTTTC